TGCCAGTAGCAGTAGCAGCAGCAGTAGCGCGGGCAGGGCAGGCGCGGCAGGCAGGCAGGCAGGCAGGCAGGCAGGCTGGCAGGCAGGCAGGCAGGCAGGCAGGCAGGCAGGCAGACAGACAGGCAGGCCGGCAGGCAGGCAGGCAGGCAGGCAGATAGGCAGGCAGGCAGGCCGGCAGGCAGGCAGGTAGGCAGGCAGGCAGGCAGGCGCGCAGGCAGGCAGGCAGGCAGGCAGGCAGGCAGGCAGGCCGGCAGGCAGGCAGGCAGGCAGGCAGGCAGGCAGACAGGCAGGCCGGCAGGCAGGCAGGCAGGCAGGCGCTCACCAAAGGCTGGAAGAGCAGGCGCTCACCGGGCGAGCAGGGCCGGCGCTCAACGGGCGGCGGCCGAGTAGGCGCACGACAGCGGCGACGTCGGGGCCGCAACACCGGCTGCAGAGCAGGGCCGAAGCAGCTGCAGGGCGGGGCCGCTTCAGCGGCAGTTGCAGGGTGGGGCCGCGTCAGCGGCAGGTCGGGGCCGTGGCAGCTGCAGGGCGGGGCCGCATCAGCGGCAGGTCGGGGCCGTGGCAGCTGCAGGGCGGGGCCGCATCAGCGGCAGGTCGGGGCCGAGGCAGAGAGCTGCGCGCAGCTCGGCGCGGGCTGCGCTGACAGCACGCTGAGCTGCTGCAGGCCGCGCGCGGCCGCGCTAGGCAGTAGCGGGCCGCGCGCGGCTCGGCGCGGGCTGCTGCGGGCCGCGCGCGGGCCGCGCGAGGCAGTAGCAGGCCGCGCGCGGCTCGGCGCGGGCTGCTGCGGGCCGCGCGCGGGCCTCGCGAGGCCGTAGCAGGCCGCGCGCGGCTCGACGCGGGCTGCGTGGGCTCGGCGCGGGCTGCGCGCGGCAGCAGCGGGCTGCGCGCGGCTCGGTGCGGGCTGCGCGCGGCTGCAGCGGGCTGCGCGCGGCTCGGTGCGGGCTGCGCGCGGCTGCAGCGGGCTGCGCGCGGCTCGGCGCGGGCTGCGTGGGCTCGGTGCGGGCTGCGCGCGGCTGCAGCGGGCTGCGCGCGGCTCGGTGCGGGCAGCGCGCGGCAGCAAGGGGCCTAACGGTCTGCAGGGGCTGTTCGCGGGCCTGAAGGGCGTGTAGGGGCGGCGCGCGGGCCTTACGGGCCTCTAGGGGCAGCGCGCTGGCCTAGGGCAGCAGGAGGCAGCGCTAGGGCTGCTGGACGGCGCGCGTAGTGCAGCACGTCACAAGGCAAGGCAAGGCAGGCAGGTACGTGGGGTAGCGCGGTAACCGCAGCGGTAGGTGGGCCCGAAAAAAAACGGTCCTACGGACCTTAGTGCTCTGAAACCATGTTAGAATCTAGCAGCAGGAATGGTTGAACTAGCAGCATGCAGGAGTACAAGTAGTAAACCCTAATTTGGGTTGTACCCCATGTGGGCTACCCCACTACAGCCTAGACAATATGCAGCATATGTTTGACACCGTCGCGCTGCCCTGGGGAGCCGCGCGCGACCCCCCGCTGCCCCGTCGACGGTCGCGCCGCCCCGCAACCCCGTCGCGCCGCCCTGGGGAGCCGCGCGCGACCCCCCGCTGCCCCGTCGACGGTCGCGTCGCCCCGCAACCCCGTCGCGCTGCCCTGGGGAGCCGCGCGCGCGACCCCCCCCGCTGCCCCGTCGACGGTCGCGTCGCCCCGCAACCCCGTCGCGCCGCCTTGGGGAGCCGCGCGCGACCCCCCGCTGCCCCGTCGAGGCGCCCTGGGGAGCCGCGCGCGGCCCCCGATGCCACGTCGTGGCACCCTGGGGGCCACGTGCCGTCCCCCGCGCTCCTGCCCCGTGCCACCCGTTTTAGGGTTTGGGGTTGGCGGATGTGGGGGTGGCGGTTATGGGGGTGCAGGGTGTGTGCGCCGTCCCTTACTCCTCCTCCTCCTCCTCCGTCTCCCACTGCTGCAGCTGTCGCTGAGGGGGGTGGGTGTGTGGGAGCCGAAGGAGTGGTGCTAGGGGGGTGACGTGGGAGTGGAGCTAGGGGTGCAGCAAGGGGTGTGTGAAAGGGGTGTGGGACAGTTGGGGGAGGTTGAGTGGAGGTAGCAGTCTTGTCGTCCGCAGCGCCTGTAGTCCGGGGCCCTTGCCGCTGGTAGCCCAGAGAGCCTGCTGCGCCTGTCGCCCATGGGTTCGTTGCTCCTGCCTGAGCCTGTTACTCCTGTAGTCCGGGGCCCTTGCTCCGGTAGCAACTGAGCCAGCCGCTCCTGTGGCCCGTGTGTCTGCAGCTTCAGCAGTCGCCTCCCATCTCTTCTCCTCTCACTGTCTAGCCTCCTCCTCCTCACGTGCCCGTTGTGAATGCCTCCAGCTTTGCTTGCACTTGTGAACCTGCTCTATGACTGCTTGCTCTGCTGATTATACCCCACTTTGACTATGGGGGTGTGTCAGAATGTGTAGTTTGTCTAGCCTGCAGTGGGGTACTCTGTAGTGAGTATGACCCCTTAGAGTTTCCTATATGTATCCACCGGCTTGCTAGTGAACCTCCTCCTTTGCCTAATTCTCTCTTGCCTAGCTAGGTAAACCCTAGCTATGGCTCCTTGTTCTAGCTACTATTTTGACAATCTCCTGCCACACGCCCCTGGTAGAGATTCACTAGTGTCACGCTCCCACAGCGCAGCTCCAGTTCACTTTCAGGGCCCATAGCTCAACCTTCCTGCCCTTAACGCCGTAGACCTTCCATAAGCACCTTTTTCACAGCCGCGCGCTCCCTGTTCACTTTCAGGGCCCATAGCTCAACCTTCCTGCCCTTAACGCCGTAGACCTCCCATAAGCACCTTTTTCGGCTCGGCAACATGGTGCTCACCACCGATGACACGCTCGCTACTTCCTCTGCCATCAGTGGAGCAAGCAACCACTCTCTCCACCGCGCCAGAGCCGTGTAGAAAGCTTTGAGCGACATCTCCGCTCCCAACTCCCAAACGAGCTCATCCTCTGACTTCACTGTAACTGTACTGTCCCATTTGCACACCACCATGTCCTGCGTTCGCCACCTTTGCATCTTGTCAGTCCCTTTCTGGCCTTTGAACGAAGCCTTCTCACGGTGCGAAATGCTGTTATTGAAGTACATGTATTCTCCTGCCACATCCCGTCGCGAGGAGACTTCAGGTACTTTCACCACCGACAACTTTCATACAGTTTTGCAGAGCCTGGCCCACCTCATGCTCCTGATCAGTCCTCCTCTTAACACCGTTTTGTGTGCGTACAGTTTAGCCCACCCCAACGAAAGGTCCGCTGAACTTTCCGCCACCCCTCTTCTAAGCGTGCACTCCTAGAGCAGCGCCAAGCCCACGCACCGTAAGGTGACAATGTCCACTCTCCCCCTCGGGTCAACCACCCCAAGCCTCCCTACTCCCCTCGGCGCATAAATCAGGTCACCACTCCAAAGTCTGAAGTGCCTCTCTATGTCCGCGTGATTCCCCAACACGAAGTTCTCTATCAGAGTCTCCACCCACTTCCACAACAGGTCCTCCGGCGTGTACACTTGGGCCTGGAAGATGAACACCGGCCGCGCGTAGCTGTTGATTATCGCCACCCTCGCGCCCGTCGTGAGCTATTTGCATTGCCATTTGCTCATCTCTCCTGCCGCTTTTCCGAACGCTTTTTCCCATGTGAACCCCGCAATTCCGCCCGGTGTTATCCAAACGCCAAGTAGCCTCTCCGCAGTGTCCGTATAATGCAATAACGCGGACGTGATTACAACCACTGAGTGAATAATGAAGCTTGGCATAGGCTGAGGTTGAGGGAACCGCGGATGGCTGGGTATTGGGTCGGTGTTGGAAAATCCAAAGGTGATGCGAGGGACGTTCGGAGTGCGAGGTCAGCGGACCGAGCCGGAAACTCGGAAAGTTGGAGCTTTATACATAAAGTGTGAAAGAGTAAGGAATTAGGACAAGATTCGACGTTTACGTCGGAAGGGTTGCGTAGAGTTGTATCTCCTGTATTAGAAACATTATGTTGGAAACGTTATGATATAGTATATAAATAATAATTAAGCTCTGTTTATAGAAGCAATTCATTAACTTCTTTTTTACTTGAAACAGGTCAGGCTCAATATTTCCCTATTATGAAGCGAAATTTTCTATAGATGCTGCTTCCCTCAAAGTTGTTAATTGATTGTGGAACAATTTGGACATTTATGTTTTTTTTTTTTTTGAATTTTATAAACATGAAATGTTTTCACCAACAACTTAACTCCATTGTTCTTTCTTGTTTAATAGCGGGTTGGGCGTTTGGCGTTGCTGAATGCCCTCGTCCTGCGCTGGCATAAATTTTCTCGTTCTGCGCTGGCAGAAATTTTCTCGTTCTGCGCTGGCAGAAATTTTCTCGTTCTGCGCTGGCATCCGTCCCTTTCACGGCTCGAATTCGGCGCTGTCGTTTCTTGGTTCTTGTTCTTGAATCTTCTCGACGAGAACATGCTCTGCTCCTACTCCCTTTCCTCCCCTCCCCCACACCCCTTCTCGCCAGTTCTTCTCCCCCCAGCCGTCGCTCTCGCTCCCATCCAGCCGTATCCTCTTCCTCACTACCTGCTGACACCTCTCTAACCCACCTCACAATCTCTTTGTCCCAACCACCCCGCCATCTCCTCTCCCTTACCTCCCCGTCGTCACCTCCCTCCTCCTCGCCGTCACCTCCCTCCTCCCCGCCGTCGCATCTCCTCCTTTCCCCCGTCGCCTCCCTCCTCCCCGCCGTCGCCTATCCTCCTCCCCGCCGTCGCCTATCCTCCTTCCCGCCGTCGCATCTCCTCCTCCCCGCCGTCGCCTCTCCCTCCCCCCCGTCGTCGCCTCTCCCTCCTCCCCGCCGTCGCCTCTCCCTCCTCCCCGCCGTCGCCTCTCCTCATCCCCGCCGTTGCCTCCCTCCTCCCCGCCATCGCCTCCCGCTCCTCCCCGCGGTCGCCTCTCCCCACTCCCCACCGTCGCCTCTCCTTCCCTCTCCGCCGTCTCCTCCGGCGACAGGTGCACGAGCGCAAGCGCGGGTTGGTGCGCGAGCGCGGGTTGTTTTCTCAGGCACCGTGGTTATCAGGTGCGTGAGAGAGAGAACGTGGTGAGAATGCACGAGAGAGAACGCGAGAGAGAGTGTGTGAGAGTGTGCCTGAGAGTGCGCCTTGAGAGAGCGCGTGAGAGAGTGCGTAAGAGAGTGCGTGAGAGAGCGCGAGAGGGTGCGTGAGAGAGCGCGTGAGAGAGCGCGTGAGAGAGCGCGTGAGAGAGCGCGTGAGAGAGCGCGTGAGAGAGCGCGTGAGAGAGTGCGTGAAGGTGCGCCTGAGAGTGATCATGAGAGAGCGCGTGAGGGAGCGCGTGAGAGAGATCGCATGAGAGAGCGCGTGAGAGAGCGCGTGAGAGAGCGCGTGAGAGCGCGAGAGAGAGAATGCGTGTGATAGTCCGCGAGAGAGAGAATGTGGTGAGAGTGCGCAAGAGCGAGCGCGAGAGGGAGTGCGTGAGAGTGTGCCTGAGAGTGCGCGAGGGAGCGCGTGAGGGAGCGTGGGAGAGCGCGTGAGAGTGCGCATGAGTGAGTGGGTGGGAGAGCGTGTGTGAGAGCGCATGAGAGAGCGCGTGAGAGAGCGTGTGAGGGAGCGTGTGAGGGTGCGCGTGAGAGAGCGTTTGAGAGAGAATATGTGCGTGAGAGTGCGCGAGAGAAAGGACGTAAGAGAGAGAATGCGTGTGAGTGTGCGGGAAAAAGAGCACGAGAGAGAGCGCCTGAGAGTGCCCCTTAGAGTGTGCCTTGATAGAGCGCATGAGAGAGCGCGTGAGAGTGCACGTGAGAGTGCGTGTGAGAGAGCGCATGAGAGAGCGCGAGAGAGCGAGTGAGAGTGCGCGTAAGAGAGCGCATGAGAGAGCGAGAGAGAGCGAGTGAGGGTGCGCGTGAGAGAATGTGCGTGAGAGGGCGCACGAGAGAGCATGCCAAAGAGCGCGCAAGAGAGCGCATGAGAGTGCGAGTGAGAGTGCGAGTGAGAGAGCGCGTGAGGGAGCGCGTGAGAGAGCGTATGAGAGAACTCGTGAGAGAGCGCATGAGCACGCTAGGACGTAAGCCCTAGCTCATTGGTGCCTCGCAGCGCACTCGTGCACTGCAGTGCACTGGCGCCTTTCTGCTATGCGTTGACGCCTTCTGCAATGCATGTGAGGGAGGCTGATTTGTAATTCTCGCTTAGCCACCTGTAAGAGCACGTGTGTTGCGGTATCCTATTCCTGCTTTCTTGTAATGATAATTTTTGAAAGTGTAATGAAATGTAACACTTTCTAAAATTTTGTATTGTGAAAAGGGGTACGTGGCCAACACAGCAAAGGTAGCGCCGAAGCGCTACTCACCCTCTTTTGCCTACAAAAGAGGGACGTGGGGACATTCGTCCCCACCCACGTTTTCATTTTCAAAATTGTAGTTCTAATTTCGTTCTCGTCCACACTGGCGAAGACTCTATCGCTTCCGCGCTTCACTGCCCCGTCAACGCTTCTTAACGACATCCTTAAGCGCAACCTCGCAGCGATGGCTCCAGTCAACCCGGCACTTAATCGCGACAACTCGAATATTTCTAGCCCCGGTAACGCGGCGGAAACCTCGACTCCGGCCGGGACAACGGATCGTCGCGGCGGAAAACGTCCCGCCGAAGAAATTTCAAGCGAGGGACCCTCGGCGGTCGACCTCCTGCTCGGAGGCACCCTTCGGACCCCCCCTGAGGAACGCGCGACTGTTGTACAGTCGCGCGTGGCTGCTGCTGAAGAGCGCGTGCCTGGCAGGCACGCGCGTGCTGCGCAGAAGACGACGACCGCCGCTGACGCGGCGGCCGTCTTGACCGGCGCTGACGCGGGTCCATCCGGGCCCACGACCCAGAAACGCCAGCGCGCGGCACCCTCCGCTGACGTCACCCCCCGGTCAACGCACCCCCCCCTTTGACTGCGTAGCAGCTGCAGGCGCTGCTCTCGTTATTGCAGCAGCACGCTCCATCGACTGCAGCTACATCAACGGAAGAAATTTCCGCTTCCGCTAAAATCGAAAAGCAGAAGGAAAACGTCGCAGCCCCCCGCTCCACCAAAATCGCTCGCACCAACAACGCTGCTCCTGCTCCCGCCCCGGCTCCGGCACCAACCCAAGCCCGTATCCCCGACGACAGCGACGACTCGGAAAATGAAGACGGTGAGGCCCCCGACAACCTTGCTCGTCGTCGCATTCTCGCACCCGCACCTCCCCTTCCCCCCCTTAACCCTACACCCGCAGCTACTACCTTCATGCGCAAGGGAGTGCGTGACCAGGCGGAGGTGTTCTCCGCAATTCAAGCTCACCTGAGGCACGTCGAGTTCAAGCTCCAAAACGGCGACGTCGAGGGCGCGCTCTCCAACGTGGAGCAAATCGAAACGTTGATCAACAAACGCTTCGAGGTGCTCTTGGTGGCGGATGAGGCCGGTTTCGAAGCGGCGGATCGGTTCCAGCTGTACCAAGCCAAGAGCGTGCTCACGTCCCGCTCTTACAAGCTCGCGGTAGCCGACGTGGCGGCCCTCAAGCGTGCACGTACCGGCTTCGCCCGCGGAGGCCGCCTTCCCCCTCGAGACGGTGAACCGGAAAGCAAGGGCATGCCACCCGCGGGCTGCCACGAGCCCCGCTTCAAGGGGGTGTGTTTCCGTTGCGGCCAGCCCGGCCATATGGCAAACAATTGCCCTATGGGAGGGCGTGGCGCACAAGGTCCCACACCCGTGGTGTGAGAGGACCCATGGGGCGGCGCCCCTTGCCACTATGCCGGGGGGCGTAGGTGGATGCACCGGTGGTGCGTAGGCTGGTTAGGAGCCTTGGAACGTAGTATAGGCCATGGGGGCCAGGGCAAGATGGCAGCCGTAGGGGCTGGTTATTGTGTAGGCCTAGGCTTGTATGCCTTTGTGTGGATTAATAAAAGAATTTTGTTATTGGACAAAAATAAAAAAAAAACAATGGAGAGAGAGAAAGGGAGACAACATGAGGAGAGAAGACAAATGGCACAACCAATCAAAAATCCAGCCCCCTCTTGAGGAAGGCAGCCATGGAGGAAGGATTGGCCAGGGGTGAATGACAAAGCAAGGACCAAGAGAAAAACAAAGAAGGGGAGAGAGAGAGAGAGAGAGAGAGAGAGAGAGAGAGAGAGAGAGAGAGAGAGAGAGAGAGAGAGAGAGAGAGAGAGAGAGAGAGAAAGAGAGAGAGAGAGAGAGAGAGAGAGAGAGAGAAGAGAGAGAGAGATAGCGATAGAGAGAGAGAGAGAGAGAGAGAGAGAGAGATAGAGAGAGAGAGATAGAGCGGAGCGAGATCTATAGATCTCTATCTTTCTCTCTTGATACTCGCTCTCTATCTCGCTCTTCTCTTAGCTCCTCTCGCTCTCTCTCTATCTAGAGAGAGAGACCGTCACAAAGACATCGTGATAAACAATGTCTGGGACCTAGTGACGCAAATGCGCCAATCTCGTTGCAAGGCAATCCAAAAAAAAAAAAAAAAAAAAAAAAAAAAAAAAAAAAAACATGCAAGAGTGTCAAAGCTGAGGGTTGCTCAAGCGAACTGTTGAAAAAAAAAACAAAACAAAACAAAACAACCCCGGGAGTGCGGGGAGGCGCGACGGCGGTAGAAGACAAGCGACATAGTTTGCCCCACAAAGCGTGCCGTATTATCTCGCGCCTAATCGACCTTGGTCCTGGTCCCCCCCCCCCCCCCCCCCCACAACCTCGGTTGCCCATTAATTGCAGAAGTGGAAGGCGAGTGGCGGAGTGCTCATTGGGACCCATACGAGGACGCAATAACGGACAACATGGTGTCCATCATGCGCATGCGATTGCGCAATAGCCTCCATTGGTGGCTGTCATGGTGCGACAGCAGTCTTATCCTTTCCATCATTGCCAGAGGGTACTGGCTACCATGGAAGGGCGCGGAGCCTCTCCCCTTCGAAGCGCCCAATCACGCAGGCGTCCAAGCACACATGGCATTCACCCAAGACGCGGTCAGCGACCTCATCGCGTCAGGCGCCGCGATGCATGTCTCGTCGAAAGCCGCACTTACGTGCATCAGCCCGCTCAATGTTGTGGAGCAACGAGACAAATGTCGGCTCATCCTTGACCTGCGGAAGGTCAACGCTCACCTCCAAGTTCCCAAGTTCAAGTACGAAGGCTTGAGTCGGGTCGCGGAAATCATTCGCCCAAACGACTGGATGCTCGCAATCGATCTCAAGTCAGGCTACCACCACGTCGAAATCCACCCATCGTGCTGGAAGTTTTTGGGCTTTCAATTGGGCGGAAATTTCTATTGCTTCACATCCTTACCTTTCGGCCTGGCAACAGCCCCGTTCGTCTTCACCCAGCTTATTAAGCAACTAGCCAAGAGATGGCGCGCGCGCGGAGTGCGCGTAATACCATACGTGGACGATCTACTATTCCTCTGCGACTCCGAGGCGCTAGCCCGTTCGACGTGCATCGAAGTTCTCTACGACCTGAAGGCGGCAGGATTCGTGATAAATTCTAAGAAATCACACCTGCATCCCGCACACCACTTGCGCTTTTTGGGGATGGAGCTTGACACGGAACGAGGGATGTTCATTGTCGGAAAGGATCGGCGCGAACAACTACTGCAGGAGCTCCACCTACTTATAAAAAAAGGGCAATCGGGTCGCCAAGTGCCGATTCGCAAGATAGCCCGGATCACTGGATTTCTCAGCTCCATGTCGCTCGCGCTGGGCACGACGGCGCGTGCCTTCAGCCATGAGCTTCTGCACTTGATCGACTCCGCATGGTCATGGAACTCAAAGGTTTTATTGTCACCAGGAGCGACCGAGGAGCTGCTGTTTTGGACAATGCACTTCGATCGTTTCAATGGCGCCCCATTCCACCAGAGTCAGCGTTTTGATGCCGTGATACACGTCGACGCAAGCGCACACAGCTGGGGTGCCACTCTGGCCAAGTTCCCAAGTACATCATGCGAGGCAAGCGAGTGCATGCCACAAGGGCTTCTCCCCACATCTAGTACGCGGCGAGAGCTCGAGGGAGTGCTCTGGGCACTGCGGACGTTCGCAACCCAAATCGTGGGTGCTCACGTCCTCGTCCGGGTAGACAACCAGGCAGTCATGTTTATCTTGCGCAAAGGGGGATCCCGTCAGGCGGATCTTACGTTGACATGCCAAGCGATCATCCAGTTCTGCCTCGGCAACACAACACGCCTCGCGATCGAATGGATTCCGAGAGAGCTCAACGCCCATGCGGATGACCTATCCAAGATGCAAGATTTTGACGACTACTCCCTACACGCACCTTGGTTTCGCCTCTTGGAACGACGCTGGGGGCCTCACACAATTGATCTCTTTGCTAACGTTCGGAACAATCACGTTCAGCGCTTCTGCTCTAAGATACCGCACCCCGACGCGTTCGCCGTCGACGCATTTTCCATCTCGTGGACAGGCGAGCGATGCTTTGCCTTCCCGCCTCCACACTTAATTCCCGCTACACTCCGCCATGCGGAACTGACGCAGACAGAACTCACGCTCGTCGTTCCACAGTGGACCGGAGCGTCATGGTGGCCGCTTCTCCAGCCGTCCACTCAATCGTGGGCTCCGGCAGTAGTAGAGCACCTTTCCCTTGCCCAAGGCAGCCAATGCCTTCGGGCAGGTTCACACACAGCTGCATTCTCTGGTCTCGGATTGCCCCATAGCCCAATCATTGCTTTGCGTGTAAACTATGCGGTCTAATAACAATTTCTCAATGTGTCATTTCAGGACTTTTGGCCAAACTAAAGCAACAATTGATGCACGTAATTAGCCACGTTCGCGCACCATCTACAATCGAGACGTACCAACCTTATTGGCAGAGATTTCGCACCTTCTGTACCCAAGTTAAGCTCGAGTTCCTACCGGCAACCGACCTGACGCTAGCGCTGTATCTCATCCATGCGCTCAACAACAAAGCAACTCTCTCTGCGATCAACCTCACGTGTTCGGCAGTAGCCTTCGCCCACCGCATGACAGGCGAAACCTCCCCTACCGCTGGCCCACTCACCCTGCAAGTGCGGGAGTTCGCCAAGAGACATGGCCCTCGGCCTACAAGGACCAAAGAGCCGATCTCTCTCCATCAAGTGCACGACATGGCTCGTCCCTTCCTCGAATCACCAATTCCTGCGGAATACCAGAAAGGATTGATTCCTCTTCTCATGTTTTCTGCATTCTTGCGCTACTCCGACCTCGTCTCGCTCCAATGGAATGATGTACAGTTCGAGGAGAAGGCAATGTGGCTGCTCATCCCGCACTCCAAGACGGACCAGGAGGGGAGGGGAGTCTGGATCCCAGTGGCAGCAATTCCAGGCCCATACTGCCCGGTGAGGTGCACGCGCACATTTATACACATCGCAGGCCTCACAAAGGTGCCACATGGACCGCTGATAAGGGTTTTCCCGAAGAACTCGCAAGCCACACCGAACGACAAATCACCATCCTACGTTACGATCAGAAACTGGTGCCTCGCGGCCGGCAGGCAAGCTGGACTGGATGTCGCGCACATCGGAACCCACTCATTCCGCAAAGGCGCAGCCACGGCGGCGGCAAGCCTCGGAGTTCCTGACCGGCTCTTCAAACGCATGGGCCGATGGCGCAGCGACAGCGCGAAGGAGATGTACGTTACAATCGCGCAGGATCAGCTCATCTCCCTCTCTACGCAATTGCAGGATCCTTCGACGGCTCCCTCGCCCGCTACGCATCAGCTGTCAATCGAACGACACCGCCAGCCCCGACTGCACTTGCCTCAGAAGACCCATATGAAATGATAACGCTGCCTTTGCCAGTCAGCCTAAGTACACTTTCACAATATGATAATTTTTGAAAGTGTAATGAAATGTAACACTTTCTAAAATTTTGTATTGTGAAAAGGGGTACGTGGCCAACACAGCAAAGGTAGCGCCGAAGCGCTACTCACCCTCTTTTGCCTACAAAAGAGGGACGTGGGGACATTCGTCCCCACCCACAATTTCATTTTCAAAATTGTAGTTCTAATTTCCCACCCGCCCACCCATTGTGTATGCTGTTATGTAGATTTATATAAGACGAGAACGATGTACTACAATCCATATGAAATGATAACGCTGCCTTTGCCCATATGAAATGATAACGCTGCCTTTGCCAGTCAGCCTAAGTACACTTTCACAATCACTGATTTTTTAGCAAGGTGTGTTTTGCTTTCTTTGTTCTTGCTTTCTTGTGCAGGGCGTGTATGTGTTGACTTCTCTGTTTTCGCCTGGGCGTATGTGTGTTGACTTCACTGATTTTGCTTTGTGCAGGGCGCGTGCGTGAGCTGAGAAGGGAGATGAGGGAGTGGGATGGAGATGAGGGAAGGAGGGAGGGAGGGTTTAGGGAGGGTAAGGTGGGATAGATTAGCAATTATTTATTCTGAAATTTATTCAGGACGGTTGTGTGTGTCAGAGGTCCACTGGTGATCCCCGATGATCCTAGGGAAGGGTTACAGGCACGTCGGCCTGGGGGTTATGGGCGCACTCACCCGCTACATAAACAAGCCCTTTTATCCCAGTGGTTAGTGGCTGGGATGTGTTTATTACGCTATCTGTATCTCTCTGTGCTTGTTTGCGTGTGTGTGCATGTCTGTTTGTTGTGTTTGTTTCACTGTCCGTTTGCTCTTCGATCCGTTCACAACCGTTGTGTTGCACATTTTTTACGTGCATTTGCATTCTTGTTTGTGGGATGTGTGTTTCAAAGTGTGGTGTTATTGTGTGTCATGTATGTAATTAGAGGTTGTTAATCGTCATTGGGGCAGTGGGTTTCCACTGTTTCAACGACCCCATCAACCTCTGTTGCTGCATGATGCATTTTAACATTCATTTTGAAGCATCCATTTCACCTCATAACTTGTTGTTCATTCGTTCATGTTGATGCCAAAATATTATGCTCGGCCGTACGATCCGCCGTATTTATCGACGAGGTTGGGACGGTCGAGCAAGTTCATGGTTTCGACATGAAACGTACGTGCGTTCCAGTATTTGGTTTTACATATGGGGATCTCATAAAGGGTGTTTTTATCCATTATTTGAGGCATCCGTTTGAACACATTTTCAAAACATTCAAACGGGTGCTCCAAAAAGTGCGTAAATACACTCTTCAAATGATATCCCCAAAATGTCAAACCAAATATAAAGGGTTGCTACGCAACCCAAAAATTCGTTACACTCTAACTTTCCCCAAACTCTATACGTTTTCAGAGGATTATTTTGTGAGCTACTGCTGTATGTACCATTATTTTTCACGTAGGGAGGGAAGAGCTGACACGACGCGCGACCAATCTCGAGGGTGTCGTGTCGTGTCTGCCAGCCAGGGAGGGTGAAACGCGCGGGAAAACCAGAACGGTTTTCAAACCACGGTACCTTATCAGATCACGAGCAACTTTCCAGCCACCCTCTCCAGTAAGTTACGCACGTGGGAGTGAAGTCACATTCTCGTGTGACATTTCGAGCAGCATTTGCTAATCCTTGATTCGTGCGTTCTAGGTTGCAGGCTCCTCTCGCGTCGCAGACGGCGTTTGGTTCTTATCCACGAGATGTACAAACTCGTAGCAGGAAAAACACCGTTCGCGCCTTGTCAGTGCGACGATAATCTTACATAAAGTTGCCATCGCATCGTATATACGCGAGTCGATGAACCCTGCTCGAAATTCAAGAACCGGTAGTGAGTACGCTACTGGGGTTCCGTTCACGCCTTTTCAGTGCGACGACCATCTTTTGCCGTCGTGCGTGAGGAACCCCGCTCGTTTATTTCGTAGTCGGTAGTGGATACGCAACTTGGTTCCCCCGTTCACGCCTTTTCAGTGCGACAATCATCTTGGATAAGAGATTGCCACTCGCATCGTATAAGCGAGTTGATTGTGTCGTCGTAGGTAACCCTGTTCATTTCCAGACGTGATTGCGCTACCGGGGTTCCGTTCCTCCATGGCCCATGAGGGGTCGACATCTCAAGGTCGACTGACGTTCAGCAGCTGCGTTGACTGACAAGAAACAAATTGCAGATTCACAGCTCGTATTAGTGAGCGCTGACGCGCGACCCTCTATCGCTTCTCGGCTTCACGACACCCGCAGCTCCTAAATAGAAGTGCTCGCCAAAATGTTCCAAGTCCGTTCGCATCGGTGGAGAGCAGTTTGTAGACCGCTGGGCGTGTTCGTGACGTCCGCGTTTCTCCTCTTATTACTGTCGCTCGCCTGGTTACCAGCATCACGATCCCAGGTACTAGGTTACCCGCTACTGTGTGCATTACCAGTTGCTGGAAAGATGTGGTTCCACTCACCTTAGGCATTCATAATTTGTAGGTTACGTTGTTTGGCGAACGCTTGCCCACGTTTTATGATAATCTCCCAAACCTTGCGAAATAAAACGCGGGGCACCGTTCGACAAACCATGAGTTCGTGATTCTCGTGCTTCGTGCGACGGAACTCTGCGAATAAAACGCCCGCGCGCGTTTCGCACCCGACTTTCTGACGGACTCAGGCTATTTGACGCTGAGAGAAAGCGGACGTTTTTCCGAACCTTTTCCCACAGACAGTCCTGTCCTATGGCTCACACTCTCAACACTGGGCAAATTCCGCCTGCCATGCGTCTCGCACCCTTACCTCCGAGATTGCACCTGCCTTGTCGTTTACGCTCTCCTCTCCCCGCGTCGCGTTCTTTCCGTCCCCTATTCCGATTTCCCTTTCCCCAATGCTTACATCCGCTCTTCCCTTCCCCTCTTTCGCACATTCCCTCTTCCCTCCCCTCTTTCCCACACTCCCCCTTTGTTCCTCCCCCACATTCCCCCTCCCATTACTCTATCCCCTCTTCCTCGCCTCCCAATGTTCCCTCTCCCCACGTCCCCTCCTCCCAACGTTCCCCCTTTCCCACATTCCCGCCTCTCAACGTTTCCCCCCTACCCTACACCCTCCCTCCGGAAATTCTCCCCACATGCCCTCCCCGCTGCTTCTGACGAAAAGGACGCGCATTCAGCCGCCGCAGGAGAGAGCGCGGGGGCAGGAGACGGGGCAGATGCAGGATACGGGGAGGAACCGGGGACAAGAGACGGGGGGGACGCAGGAGACAGTGAGAGCGCCGACAGCAGCAGTGGCGAGAGTGCCATCGGCGAAAGCGGCAGCGAGAGTGACAGCAGCGAGAGTGGCAGTGGCGAAAGCAGCAGCAGCGAAAGCGAAAGGACGAGCAGTGGGAAGTTGAGGGGAGTGTTTGAGCTGCCGGATCCGCCGTCCAGATTCGATGCCCGGGCTGCGTGGCACCACATGCGCTACCGCACGCCTGACGCGTGCTGGAGCCAGCAGGAGCGGCACCTGTACCACACGGTACGTTTGTGGTGTGATGCACACATGATGTTTTTGAGAACTCCACACTAGAGCTGCGTGTTACCACATGTGGTATCGCACCTCTGACGTGTGCTGGAGCCAGCAGGAGCGGCACCTGTACCACACGGTAAGTGTGAAAGGAAGGTGTGTGCTTGTGTTGCACACGTTATGTTGTGAATGGGCTGCGTGGCATCACATGCGCTACCACACCCCTCACGAGTGCTTGAGCCAGCAAGAGCGGCACCTGTATCACACTGTACGTTTGCGGTGTGATGCACGTGGTGTGTGTGGGAGGGGCGTGTGCTGCGCATGGTGAGTGTGGGAGGGGCGTGTGCTGCGCATGTTGTGTGTGGGAGGGGCGTGTGCTGCGCATGTTGTGTGTGGGAGGGGCGTGTGCTGCGCATGTTGTGTGTGGGAGGGGCGTGTGCTGCGCATGTTGTGTGTGGGAGGGGCGTGTGCTGCACATGCGCATAATGTTCTGAGAAGTCTCAGGTTTCCCCCCACTACGGCTGCTGTGGCATCACATCTCATGCGGTACCGCACTCTCCATTCGTGCTGGAGCCAGCAGGAGCGGCATCGTTACTGCACGGTAAGTGTGGGAGGTGCGTGTGTGCTTGTGTGCTCACGTTATGGCGAGGTAGGGCTTGTGTTGCACACGGCGTGTGTGCGAAGGGTTTGTGTTGCACGTGGTACGTTTGGGGGGCCCGGCCGTGTGTAGCAGCCAGTGCATGCTGAGGGGGCGTGTTTCACATTCGCATACACCACACTATGGTGGAGAGGGGAGAGGAACATGAACCATGTATGCCACGTTCTATCTGCCCCCCTCCACTCCCGCGTGTGCTCCTGCAGGCGGACCAGTCACACCCGTCACAGGCGTTTGTGGGTGCTGTGGTTGGTGGCGTTTGAGGCGATGCAGAGGGAGTTTCACGTGTGTGAGTCAGGGAGCAAACAGATAGATCTCTAATTCGACTCACACACATACAATCTCTCTGTTCCTGTCTATCCCCCACCCCAATGTGTGTTTCCACAGGCGGACCAGTCACACCCGTCTCAGGCGTTTGTGGATGCCGTGGTGACGTTTGAGGCGATGCAGAGGGAGTGTCACGTGTGTGAGTCAGGGAGCAAACAGATAGATATCTAATTTGACTCACACACATGCAATGTCTCTGTTCCTGTCTATCCCCCACCCCAATGTGCGTCTCACAGGCGGACCAGTCACACCCGTCACAGGCGTTTGTGGATGCCGTGGTGATGTTTGAGGCGATGCAGAGGGAGTGCGTGAGCCAGGGTGGGGTGGAGGACTGGGAGTGGGTGCGCAACAGGACAGACTGGTGCGTGATGGGCTGGGTTCTAGCTTATGCCTCTTATGCCACACTTAAGCCTCGCTTATGCCTCTCTTGTTGTCTTCCCCTCCTCCCCTTCCAACCCTCCCCACACTCCCCATCCTCCCCACCCTCCCAGCTTTCCTCCAGCTCCACTCTTTAACCTCCACTCCCCACCCTCTTCTCTCCCCTCTACACTCCCCACCCTCCTCTCTCACCTCTACAATCCCCACCCTCCGCTCTCCCCTCTACACTCCCCACCCTCCCCTCTCGCCCCTACACTCTTCCTGCTCTTCCTTCTCATTTTTTCATCGGTCCATCTCCCTTCTCCTGTTGTCTCTTTCACTCTCCAGTTACTGAGTGTCGCGAACCTGAGAGGCATCCCTTTGCTTCGGGCAATGTCCTTCCACATAACCCCTCCCCTCCCAACTGCTACAGGGTCCAACGGGTGCCCTTGACTTCAGGAATCTCTCCTCATGCTGCCTCTTCCTCTCCTCCGCTCCCCTTTTTCCCCTCACCACCTCTCTCATTCTCCAGGGACCAAGGGGTCCCACGGTACAGGCCAGACAGGCAACCCTCTCAGGCAACCCTCTCAGGCAACCCTCCTCCTCTCCTCCACTCCCTCCACCTCCCCTCCACTCATTCTCCAGGGACCAAGGGGCGCCACGGTACGGGCCGGACAGGCAACCCTCTGTAGCAACCCTCCTCCTCTCCTCTGCACCCCTCACCTCCCCTCCACTCAATCTCCAGGGACCACGGGTGTCACAGTATTAACCGGATAGGCAACCCTCTCTGGCAACCCTCTGGGAACCCTCCACCTCTCCTCCGCTTTCCCACCTCCCCTCCTCTTAATCTCCAGGGAAGAAGGAATCCCACGGTACGGGCCGAACAGTAAGCCGTGCCGCTACATTATGATTCACGACCTGAGTCGAGGTGAGTGCGTGTGAACAGTCAGTTTGAGATGCCTCTAAACTGGTATGGGCCGGACAGGAAGCCGTGCTGCTACATCATGATTCACGACCTGAGTCGAGGTGAGTGCGTGTGAACAGTCACTAAGATGCGTGTGAGATGCCTCTAAACTGGTATGGGCCGGACAGGAAGCCGTGCTGCTACATCATGATTCACGACCTGAGTCGAGGTGAGTGCGTGTGAACAGTCAGTTTGAGATGCCTCTAAACTGGTATGGGCCGGACAGGAAGCCGTGCTGCTACATCATGATTCACGACCTGAGTCGAGGTGAGTGCGTGTGAACAGTCAGTTTGAGATGCCTCTAAACTGGTATGGCCCGGACAGGAAGCCGTGCTGCTACATCATGATTCACGACCTGAGTCGAGGTGAGTGCGTGTGAACAGTCAGTTTGAGATGCCTCTAAACTGGTATGGGCCGGACAGGAAGCCGTGCTGCTACATCATGATTCACGACCTGAGTCGAGGTGAGTGCGTGTGAACAGTCAGTTTGAGATGCCTCTAAACTGGTATGGGCCGGACAGGAAGCCGTGCTGCTACATCATGATTCACGACCTGAGTCGAGGTGAGTGCGTGTGAACAGTCAGTTTGAGATGCCTCTAAACTGGTATGGGCCGGACAGGAAGCCGTGCTGCTACATCATGATTCACGACCTGAGTCGAGGTGAGTGCGTGTGAGCGGGCAGATAGCTACTTCAAGTCAGCACCAACTCCCTCGTCTCTGACTCTCCAATGACCAAGGGGTGCCGCGATATGGGCCGTACAGGACAAGCAGCGGTGCTGAGTGTGTGCGGGCAGATAAAGAGGCAGCTGGATTAAATAACTGCGTGGAGTGGATGGATTGGCATGGAAGGCACTTGTGTGCAGCAGAGCGGGGTTGGATGGGAGGATGAGACGGGGATTTTATCCTGAGTTGGACCTTTGTTGGAGTATCCTGTTTGGACGGGGTTGGATTGTCAGGCCTACACTTACACATGATAGAAGCCACTTGTGCGGAAGCTAAGTTGATTGCTCGTCTTTCGCCCTTGCCTTTCGCCCTTGTCTTTCGCCCTTGCCTTTCGCCCTTGCAACGCAAGCGACCAGGCCTTCAACTTTGTGCTCGTCAGATACATGTCTGAGTACAAAAGGTTTCATCATTTCCTGCTCACCAACCATCCGCCTTCCCCACCACCCACACATCCCTCAGGAGTGGGCAATCGAATCATATTGTACGCGATTTTCTTGATTCTCGCCCTGCTCACCAATTAATCTGCCTTCCCCACAAACCACTCGCACACCCCTCCCTTAGGAGTGGGCAATCGAATCGTATCGTACGTGATCTCCTTTATTCTCGCCCTTCTCTCACCAACCATCCACCTTCCCCACCACCCGCACACCTCTCAGGAGTGGGCAATCGAATCGCATCGTATGTGATCTCCTTTGTGCTCGCCCTGCTCACCAACCGATCCGCCTTCCCCTTTGACTGGCTCTCACCTTACAACCTCACACCCTGAAACCCCAAACCTCAGGAGCGGGCAATCGAATCGCATCGTACATAACCTCCTTTGTGCTCGCCCTGCTCACCAACCACTCCGTCTTCCCTCCCCACCACCCGCACACACCCCTCCCTCAGGAGTGGGCAATCGAATCGCATCGTACGTGATCTCCTTCATTCTCGTCCTGCTCACCAACCATCCGTCTTCCCCACCACCCACCTGCACACCTCTCAGGAGTGGGCAATCGAATCGCATCGTACGTGATCTCCTTTGTGCTCGCCCTGCTCACCAACCGTGCAATCATTACGCCGCCCAACGGGTTCCTCACCCGCCGATTCTGCAACCCCTTTGCACGCGGAAACACCTCCTGGACCATCCCACCGGCTGTCTACGAGTGAGCCTTGGGTCGGGCGTGTATGGGTCTGTCTGTTTTTGAGTCGACTCTGAGCCGCCAATCTTGCAAAACCTTTGCACCTGCAAACACCTCCTGGAATGTCTCACCGGCTGTCTACGAATGAGGCTCGGGTCGGGTGTGTATGGGTCTGTTCGACTCTGATCCGCCGATTCTGCAACCCTTTGCACGTGGAAACACCTGATGGACCGTCCAACCTGCTGTCTATGAGAGGCTCGGGTCGGGTGTGTATGGGTGTGTATGGGCGTGTATGGGTGTGTATGGGTCTGTTTTTGAGTCGACTCTCACCCGCTGATTCCGCAACCCCTTTGCACGCGGAAACACATCTTGGACCGTCCAACCGGCTGTCTATGAGAGGCTTGGACTGTTGTTCGTACGAATAGGGTTTGGGGCAGCTGTATGCAAATGAGGCTTGGGCCAGGTGTGTATGAGTGAGGCTTGGAGCCACTTATGTGACTGAGTGTTAGTGCGGTCCGGCTGTGTAGGAGATATGAACGCAATTGAGGCTTGTGCAAGTTCATTTGATACTCTTGGATGACAACCTGTTGCCTGCCTTCGCCATACCACATCAGAAGCTGTATTGCCTTCCTTATCCGTACCACATCCGATGTTCCTGCTCATCCTGACCACATAACCTTCTCGTGCTACTGCTCTAGCCTAGACGCTTCTTTTCAATCTCCACCCCACCGCACCTCACTGCACCCCCTCACATGTCCTCCAGTCTGCTGCTGGCGTCAGCACTGCCAGAGCCACAGGTACATACGTCTGTCAGACATGGCAAAGAGGCTGAATGTAGGATGTGCCAGGAAGCGGCTGAATGTAGGATGTGCCAGGAAGCGGCTGAATGTAGGTGCTGCCAGGAAGCGGCTGAATGTAGGTGCTGCCAGAAAGCGCGTGTGTTACTGCTACTCGAGACGCTTTGCTTCGCCCTCCTCCCCACCCCACCCCTTCGCCCTCCCACCCAACCCCAGTCTGCTGCTGGCGTCAGCACTGCCAGAGCCACGGCTACATCTGTCGGACATGGCGACGCGGCTGAACATAGGAGCTGCCAGGAAGCGCATGTACTACTGCTGCTCCAGACCCTTTACTTCACCCTCCTCCCCACCCCACCCCAGTCTGCTGCTGGCGTCAGCACTGCCAGAGCCACGTCTTCATCTGTCAGAGATGGCAAAGCGGCTGAATATAGGAGCTGCCAGGAACCGGCTGAATGTAGGAGTTGCCAAGAAGCGGCTGAACATAGGAGTTGCCAGGAAACGCGTGTGCTACTGCTGCTCGAGACGCTTTGCTCCGCCCTCCTCCCCACCCCATCCCCCTCGCCCTCTCATCTCACCCCATCCCCCTCACCCTCCCACCCCACCCCAGTCTGCTGCTGGCGTCAGCACTGCCAGAGCCACGGCTACATCTGTCAGAGATGGCCAAGCGGCTGAATATAGGAGCTGCCAGGAACCGCGTGTGCTACTGCTGCTGCTCCAGACGCTTTGCTCCGCCCTCCTCCCCACCCCACCCCTCTCGCCCTCCCACCCCACCCCAGTCTGCTGCTGGCGTCAGCACTGCCAGAGCCACGCCTACATCTGTCAGAAATGGCCAAGCGGCTGAATATAGGAGTTGCCAGGAAGCGGCTGAACATAGGAGTTGCCAGAAAGCGGGTGTGTTACTGCTGCTCGAGACGCTTTGCTTCGCCCTCCTCCCCACTCCACCCCCCCACGCCCTCCCACTCCACCCCAGTCTGCTGCTGGCGTCAGCACTGCCAGAGCCACGGCTACATCTGTCAGAGATGGCGAAGCGGTTGAACATAGGAGTTGCCAGGAAGCGCATCCCGGCGGTGACGGCGTTTCTGCAGAGGGACGTGGAGCGGAACGGTTCTGTGTGGGTCGACCTGCATGCCAGGTGAGTGAGGTGAGGGCATGCACCATTGCTGCCGGAGCCACGGCTACATCTGTCAGAGATGGCGAAGCGGTTGAACATAGGAGTTGCCAGAAGCGCATCCCGGCGGTGACGGCGTTTCTGCAGAGGGACGTGGAGCGGAACGGGTCTGTGTGGGTCGACCTGCATGCCAGGTGAGTGAGGTGAGGGCATGCAGTACAGGTGATGGGACTGCTCTGGAGGTGCCTCAAAAAGCGCATCCCGGCAGTGACGGCGTTTCTGCAGAGGGACGTGGAGCGGAACGGGTCTGTGTGGATCGACTTGCATGCCAGGTGAGTGAGGTGAGGGCATGCACCATTGCTGCCGGAGCCACGGCTACATCTGTCAGAGATGGCGAAGCGGTTGAACATAGGAGTTGCCAGAAAGCGCATCCCGGCAGTGACGGCGTTTCTGCAGAGGGACGTGGAGCGGAACGGTTCTGTGTGGGTCGACTTGCATGCCAGGTGAGTGAGGGCATGCACTACAGGTGAGGGGACTTGCGGCACAGGTGGGTGCGGGCGAGGAGGGTGTGGCTGGAGAGGGATGTGGAGCGGAACGGGTCTGTGTGGGTCGACTTGCATGCCAGGTGAGTGAGGGCATGCACCATTACTTAGGGGTTTACTGCCGGCGGTAACGGCGTTTCTTCTGCAAAGGGACGTGGAGCGGAATGGGTCTGTGTGGGTCGACTTGCATGCCAGGTGAGTGAGGGCATGCACTACAGGCAAGGGGACTGTTTCCGAGGCACCTCAAAAAGCGCATCCCGGCAGTGACGGCGTTTCTGCAAAGGGATGTGGTGCGGAATGGTTCTGTGTGGATCGACCTGCATGCCAGGTGAAGGGGCTTACGTGACTGACTGACAGGTGAGGGGACTTGCAGCACAGGTGGGTGCCTGCGGTGACGGTGCAGAGGGATGTGGTGCGGAATGGTTCTGTGTGGGTCGACTTGCATGCCAGGTGAGTGAGGGCATACAGGTGAGGGGACTGTTTCCGAGGCGCCTCAAGAAGCGTGTTCAGGTGGTGGCGATGTGGCTGGAGAGGGACGTGGTGCGGAATGGTGTGTGTGAGTCCACTTGCATGCCAGGTGAGGGGGCTTGAGTGACAGGCGAGAGGGGGCTTGCATGCAGCACAGGTGCGTGCGGTGGAGGAGGGTGTGGTTGGGGAGAGAAGTGGTGCAGAGTGGTTCTGTGTGGATCGACCTGCACCACAGGTGAGTGAGGGCATGCACCGTCACATAGGGATTTACTTTATCCATGCATAATTTTGTTCCCTCTTCTCTTGTCTACTTATGGCCAACCAAATGCCTTTAGACGAGTCAATAATGTACAGTTCCTGTTCTGACACACACTCTCTCCGTCTTTCTTCTTTCCTTTCTGACACAAGCTCCACCATCTGAACGACAGTTGATCTCGCCCCCTTTCTTTCCCCGTCATTCCCGGGCGACGGGAATGTCTTTCCCTTCCCTTTGTGTTTCTCTGCCGCTCGCCAGGGTGCTCTACCAGTTCTGTGATGTCATCTGGGCGACAGCTGACCTCGCCCCCCTTTCCTTCCCTTCATTCCCGTGGTGTGTTTGAAGTGACTTTTGAGTTGACTCGAAAGTCGCCTCAGTTGACCTCACATCCCTTTCTTTCCCGTTATTCCCGTGGTGTGTTTGTGTGTTTGTCTCCCGCCCGGCAGGGTGCTCAACCAGTTTTGCGACATCATCTGGACAACAGTTGACCTCGCCCCCTTCTTTCCCTTCATTCCCCTAGTGTGTGTGTTTGTCTGCCCCCCGCCAGGGTGCTGAACCAGTTTTGCGACATCATCTGGACAACAGTTGACCTCGCCCCCTTCTTTCCCTTCATTCCCCTAGTGTGTGTGTTTGTCTGCCCCCCGCCAGGGTGCTGAACCAGTTTTGCGACATCATCTGGACAACAGTTGACCTCGCCCCCTTCTTTCCCTTCATTCCCCTAGTGTGTGTGTTTGTCTGCCCCCCGCCAGGGTGCTGAACCAGTTTTGCGACATCATCTGGACAACAGTTGACCTCGCCCCCTTCTTTCCCTTCATTCCCGGGCGACGGGAATGTCTTTGCCTTCTCTTTGTGTTTGTCTCCCGCCCGGCAGGGTGGTGAACCAGTTCTGTGACGTCATATGGGAAACAGTTGATCTCGCCCCCTTCTGGTTTACCAGCATCGACGCCTACTCCCTCCCCAGCCTCTACTACATCAAGAGCTACGCTGTAAGCATGCCCTGTTTCGTCATAAGCACATCTGGGTGTACTTTGCTATAAGCACACACTCGCTCCCTTCTGGTTTACCAGCATCGACACCTACTCCCTCCCCAGCCTCTACCACGTCAAGAGCTACGCTGTGAGCATGCACTGTTTTATAAGCACACCTGGGTGCACACCCGTGCACTTCTGGTTCACAGCATCGACGCATATTTCCTTCCCAGCCTCTACTACATTCAGAGCTACGCTGTGAGTATGTCCTTCGTTATATGCATGCACTCCGTTATAAGCACACACCCATGCCCCCTTCTGGTCTACCAGCATTGGCGTCTACTCCCTCCAAGCCTCCACTACATCAAGAGCTACGCTGTGAGCATGCACTTCGTTATGAGTGTGCACTTTGTTGTGCTTCGTGTCTTCATACCAACGCTCCTCCTCCTCATGCATCCATACCAACGCTCCTCCTCCTCATGCATCCATACCAACGCTCCTCGTCCTCCTCAGGACCGCCTGCACGAGTTGTTTCCAAGCCGTCATGTGTTCACTCACGTGGCTCGCTTCCTCATGCACCCATCGCACCCACTGCACTCCCACTGCCTAACCGGCCTCCCTACACCTTCCTAACCAACCTCGGTCACTACCCCCACCATCCCCTCCTCTCAGGTCCGCTTGCACGAGCTGTTCCCTGACTGCCGTGTGTTCACACACGTGGCTTGCTTCTTCCTCATGGAACCATCGCATTCCCACTGCACCCATTGCAACCCATACCAACACCCATCACCCCCTCCTCTCAGGACCAGCTGCACGAGTTGTTCCCGACAGACGTGTGTTCACCCATGTGGCTCGCTTCCTTCTGCATCCAACCTCATGAGTCATGCCCATCACCCCCTCCTCTCAGGACCGGCTGCACGAGTTGTTCCCGACCGACGTGTGTTCACCCACGTGGCTCGATTCCCCATGCACCCGCTGCACTTTCACCGCACTCTACTTGCAGTCTCTTCAATGTCAACGCCCCCATCCCCCCTCCCCCTCTTCTCAAAAACGGCTGCACGAGTTGTTTCCTGACCACCGCGTCTTCACACATGTGGCTCGCTTCCTCATACACCCAATGCACTCCCACTGCACTCCCACTGGTATCTCACCCGTACCAACACCCATATCCCCTCCTCTCAGGAACGCCTGCACGAGTTGTTCCCAGACCGCCGCGTGTTCACCCACGTGGCTCGCTTTCTTCTGCATCCCGACAACCGCCTGTGGGCCAAGATCACCTACACCTTCCTCGCTAACCTCGGCCACTACCCGCACCGCCTGGGAGTGCAGGTATGATTATAAGCCCTTGGGGGTATGGGTTTGGTGAGAAGTGTCTGTGGCCGCAGCCTGCAGGTACTGACAAGCGCCTGTGAGCCAAGATCACCTACACCTTCCTCGCTAACCTCGGCCACTACCCCCACCGCTTGGGGGTGCAGGTGCGTTCAAAATCCACGACTGCAGGTGCGGTAGAAATAACTGGGGCTAAAAAAAACTAGAGTAGTACTAATGCCTGCCGCTGCAGGTAGTTTCAACCGCCTGTGAGCCAAGATCACCTACACCTTCCTCGCTAACCTGGGCCACTACCCCCCACCGCCTGGGGGTGCAGGTACGATTGTAAGCCCTTGGGGGTATGGGTATCGTTAGAAGTGTCTGTGGCCGCACTGCAGGTACTGACAACTGCCTGTGCGCCAAGATCACCTACACGTTCCTTCCTTGCGTATACAAGTATGCATGAGTGCAGGTGCGTTCACAAGAATCCAGGACCATAGACCTTTCCGTGGCAAACCGCATTCTGCAATCTAGCGTGCGTGCACATTACTCACCCCGAGGACCCTTCTTCCTCCCCACCCCCCAACCCCTCTCCCCTCAGATCCGTTCTCCAGACGGCATCGACCTGCCGGTAGCAGACCGCATCCTGCGATGCAACTTGCACAAAGTACCCCTCTCTCCCTCCCCTCCCCCCCCCCCCTCTTCCCCCCCTCCCCCCCCCTCCCCCTCAGATCCGTTCTCCTCACGGCATAAACCTGCCGGTAGCAAACCGCATTCTGCGGTGCGGCGTGCGCGCACAGTACCTGCCTTGAGAACTCCTCCTCAACCCTCCTCACCCCTCCCCACCCCCCACCTTCCCCTCAGATCCGTTCTCCTGACGGCATAGACCTGCCGGTGGCAGACCGCATTCTGCGGTGTGGCGTGTACAAAGTACCCTTCTCTCCCTCCCCTCTCCCTCCCCTCCCCTCAGATCCGGTCTCCTGACGGCATAGACCTGCCGGTGGCAGACCGCATTCTGCGGTGTGGCGTGTACAGAGTACCCTTCTCTCCCTCCCCTCTCCCTCCCCTCCCCTCAGATCCGGTCTCCTGATGGCATAGACCTGCCGGTGGCAGACCGCATTCTGCGGTGTGGCGTGTACAAAGTACCCTTCTCTCCCTCCCCTCTCTCTCCCCTCCCCTCAGATCCGTTCTCCTGATGGCATAGACCTGCCGGTGGCAGACCGCATTCTACGGTGTGGCGTGTACAAAGTACCCTTCTCTCCCTCCCCTCTCTCTCCCCTCCCTTCAGATCCGTTCTCCTGATGGCATAGACCTGCCGGTGGCAGACCGCATTCTACGGTGCGGTGTGCGAGCACAGTACCTGCCGCCCACCCAGCCGTACCCCGAGGATCCGTCCATGGCCACGCCGACCCTCGGCTACCCGGGCGGCGGGGCAGCGAGGGCGGCGGCGGTGGGGAGGCTGAAACGTACCGGTCGTTCTGCGGTGCAGCGTGTAGAAAGTACCTCTCTCTCCCTCCCCTCTTCCTCCCCTCTCCCTCCCCTCCCCTCAGATCCGTTCTCCGGACGGCATAGACCTGCCAGTGGCAGACCGCATTCTGCGCTGTGGTGTGCGCGTACAGTACCTGCCGCCCACCCAGCCGTACCCCGACCGAGGACCCCTCCCCCCTCCAATCCCCCCGCTCCCACCCACCAGATCCGTTCCCCTGACGGCATAGACCTTCCTGTGGCAGACCGCATTCTGCGCTGTGGTGTGCGAGCACAGTACCTGCCGCCCACCCAGCCGTACCCCGAAGATCCGTCCATGGCCACGCCGACCCTCGGCTACCCGGGCAGCGGGGCGGGTGGCGGTGGGGACGCGGAGACGTACCGGTCGTTTCACACGATGGGGGTGTTTGTGTCGTCTCTGAGCATTCGGCACATGCTAGATCTGGAAACGCACTACGCGCAGCATCTGACCATTGGCAACACCTTTGTCAGCTTCTGGTCGTGAGTGCTGGGAATCTGGGAGATGGGGACAGAGAGGGCTGTGAATCTGGTCATGAGGGCTCGTAAACAGGACACTCAGTGTTCATCGTCTTAGTTCTGGTTGACTTGTAACTTGTACTTTATCATTTCACACATGTATGAATAAAGAGCCAAACCCCTGTAAGGGGCTATCATCTCTGGTTGGAAAGCAAGGTGTGGAAAAGGAGTGGATTCAGGAGAACATTGGAAACCCTTTTTTGTTCATTCTGCTGCCCATGCGTGTTGTGCTGCACGTGCCATGCCTGCTTGTGCGTGTTGTGCTGCCCGTGCCATGCCTGCCATGCAGACTTACCAATGAGGGGAGGGAGACGAGAGACGAGCAGCAGCTGATCGATGCAGTCATGGACATGTGGATCCTCAGCTTCAGGTATCGCATTCGTCACATAAGAGCAGGTAGGAGCATTACGTTCACTCCAAGGTATACTGTGGCACCAGAAGAGCAGGTAGGAGCAGCAGCTGATCGATGCAGTCATGGACATGTGGATTCTCAGCTTCAGGTAACCCATCTCCTCATCCACACGTCACATCACATCACATGGCATCACATCGCCTCACATTGAATGGTTGAGTGTTGTAGAAGGCTTGAAGGTAGCAGGGAAACATGCAGGAAACAGCAGCTGATCGATGCTGTCATGGACATGTGGAATCTCAGCTTCAGGTATCGCATGCCATCACATGATACCACATCTCATCACATCTCATCACATCACATGTTACCACATCACATCACATCACATCACATCACATCACATCACATCACATCACATCACATCACATCACATCACATCACATCACATCACATCACATCACATCACATCACATCACATCACATGACATCACATCACATCACATCACATCACATCACATCACATCACATCACATCTCATCACGTCACATCACATCTCATCGCGTCACATCACATCACATCACATCACATCACATCTCATCACGTCACGTCACATCACATCACATCACATCACATCACATCACATCACATCACATCACATCACATCTCATCTCATCTCATCTCATCTCATCTCATCTCATCTCATCTCATCTCATCTCTCCTCTCCTCTCCTCTCCTCTCCTCTCCTCTCCTCTCCTCTCCTCTCCTCTCCTCTCCTCTCCTCTCCTCTCCTCTCCTCTCATCTCATCTCATCACATCACATCACATCACATCACATCACATCACATCACATCACATCACATCACATCACATCACATCACATCTGATCGCATCGCATCACATCACATCACATCACATCACAGTCCTGTCTTACTCCCCTGCCTCCCACCCCCACACAACCAGTGACCGTCTGCTGATAAACGCACATCTCATCGTTCAGCTGCACCACAAAGGCGGAACCACTGTCACCCCTGCCTCTCCCCCCCCTGCCTCCCCTCGTCCCCCACCCTCCCCTCACCAGTGATCGCCTGCTGATAACACACATCTCATCGTTCGGCTGCACCACAAAGGCGGAACCACTGTCACCCCTGCCTCTCCCCCCCCTGCCTCCCCTCGTCCCCCACCCTCCCCTCACCAGTGACCGCCTGCTGATAACACACATATCGTCGTTCGGTCGCACCACAGAGGCGCAACCACTGTCACCCCTGCCTCCCCATGCTTCCTCCTCCCCTCCCCCCCCCCACCAGTGACCGCCTGCTGATAACGCACATATCGTCGTTCGGCCGAACAGCAGTCGGGCTAGCGGGCATCGAGGCATACTCCATGGCAATCACAGTCATCAAGATGAGGGGGGTGGACTGGCGCAAGAGCACGGGGCCTGTGTGCGAGCGCGTCTCCTCTGAACCCTGCGACACCGTGGGGATGCCAGTGAAATATGTGAGAGCCGGTTGGGTGGGGTGGAAGGGGGGTGTGGTGGGCAAACGAGTGGGAGGGGGGTGTGGGCGAGTGAAGAGGGGTGTGGTATGGCACTCAATGGCGATCACAGTGTTCAAGATGCGGGGGATAGACTGGCGGCACAGCACAGGGCCTGGATGTGAGAGAGTCTCCTCTGAACCCTGCGACACCCTGGGGGCTGCTGTGCGCATAGACGTGTTTTGAGACGTTGCAAAGCGCGGGGTCTGTGTGTGTATGGTGAGAGGACCCGCACGTAGTTAGTCGATTTTTGAGTCGACTCAAAAATCGTTTCAAAGCGCGGGGTCTGTGTGTGTATGGTGAGAGGACCCGCACGCCCCAGCAGAGTGGGTGTTTCAAGAGGTGCCTCTCACAAACCTTTCCCTCTCCTCCCCTACCCGTTCTGTTGTTCCTCTGCAGAGCAGGTAATGGTTTCCGCAACTAGTAACGTGCCCAAAAGACACCTGTCACGGTCCTTCCCCTCCCTCCCCCACCCCTCCCCTCCCCTCCCCTCCCCTCCCCTCCCCTCCCCTCCCCTCCCCTCCCCTCCCCTCCCCTTTCCTCCTCCCCCTCCCCTCCCCTCCCCTCCCCTCCCCTCCCCTCCCCTCCCCTCCCCTCCCCTCCCCTCCCCTCCCCTCCCCTCCCCTCCCCTCCCCTCCCCTCCCCTCCCCTCCCCTCCCCTCCCCTCCCCTCCCCTCCCTTCCCCTTCCTTCCCCTCCGCTCCCCTCTCCTGCCCTCACCTCCTCTCCCCTGCCATTTTTGTCTCTCCTCCGCAGAGCAGGTGCAGGTGGGACTGCTTCTGACTTGCCCCAAAAGTCACCTGCGATGGTCCTTCCCCTCCCCTTCGCTCCCATTTCCGGTATTGCTCTGCAGAGCGGGTGCAGGTGGGACTACAATTGTAGCGGGCTAAGGGGACCATTTCAGAGGCCACCAGGATTCGCTTTTTTTTTTCCCTGGAGCCACCTCAAGGGACGACTGTCATGGTCCCTCCCCTCCTCTCCCTTCCTTCCCCCTTCCCCTTTTTCCCTATTCCTGTGCAGGCCGGGTGCAGGTGGGACTACAATCGCAGCGGGCTAAGCGGACCATTTCAGAGGCCACCAGGATTCGGCTTCTGCCCTGGAATGAAATTCGGCATCCAGGATCTCTACCCCCTTCTCCACCTTCCTCGCACATAAACTAGTACGGTATTTTGAGGCACCTCAAAACCAGTGGGCTAAGGGGACTGTATTAAAACCACCAGGAGTTGGCTTTTGCCCCGGAATGAAGTCAGGTTTTCAAGGCCTTTATCCATACCCTCTTCACCAACCTCTCAAATACCTGCACAAGTTTTGCCTGTTTACATACCAGTATGATTAGTTTGACTGTTTGCAAGGACTTGATATCCAAGGCATGAATAACATCGGTAATCATCTGTATGTGTCTAATTAAAGCCTGGTACCGTTATTGGAAGCTGGTAGAACTGCTACTAGTCCTCAGATGCAGGACATTACACATGGCGCAGGGTGTTACCAGCACATGTAAGAGATTATGTGATTCAGAGTAGAGTAAATCAGTTTGCAGTACGAGTCGTAACTGAATACAGTACATGTACAGTAAGCTTAATTGAGCTTGACGCACTGGCGCAATGGGAAGAAACGAGGCGCCATAAAATGATCACAAATGGTTATATCCAGATGCCTATGCAAAGGGTACATGTTTCTAGGCAAGTTCAACATATCTTTAGGTGCCTCTGTTATTTGTGTTAAGGCACCTCAAAGCAGGCTCCAACAACCAGCAGCAAGGCTACAAGGCAAGGGGATGAGTGAGTGAGCTTCCAGTGAGTCGAGGCAGGAGAGGCAGTCAGAGGGGAGAGATGGAGGACAGTGGGGGGGGGGAAGGGCGGACACCACCCCAAGGACACAAGGCAACGGGATGTGTGAGCTTCCATTGAGCCGAGGCTTGAGTCAACTCTAGTCTCGAGAAGCTGTGGCGATGGCTACAAGGCAAGGGGATGAGTGAGTGAGCTTCCAGTGAGCCGAGGCAGGAGAGGCAGTCAGAGGGGAGAGATGGAGGACAGTGGGGGGGGGGGAAAGGCGGACACCACCCCAAGGACACAAGGCAACGGGAAATGTGAGCTTCCATTGAGCCGAGGCTTGAGTCAACTCTAGTCTCGAGAAGCTGCGGCGATGGCTACAAGGCAAGGGGATGAGTGAGCTTCCAGTGAGTCGAGGCAGGAGAGGCAGTCAGAGGGGAGAGATGGAGGACCTGAGGGGGGACGGGTAGCATTGCATGGAGAGAGATAGAGATGGAGGTCATGGGGGAGGTCATGGGGGAGGTCATGGGGGAGGTCATGGGGGAGGTCATGGGGGAGGTCATGGGGGAGGTCATGGGGGAGGTCATGGGGGAGGTCATGGGGGAGGTCATGGGGGAGGTCATGGGGGAGGTCATGGGGGAGGTCATGGGGGAGGTCATGGGGGAGGTCATGGGGGAGGTCATGGGGGAGGTCATGGGGGAGGTCATGGGGGAGGTCATGGGGGAGGTCATGGGGGAGGTCAGAACAGCATGTTTGCTGACTCTTTCTTCCCTTGCTCAATCTGCCTTATGGGCAGGAGAGGGGAAGTGTGAGAGAGAGGTAGAGATGGTAACACCTTATGGGCATGTTCAAGGCAGGAGAGGGAAAGCGAGGGAGAGGGCCTGAGGAGGGAAGTGGCGAACGGAAAAAAGGATGCAAATAGCAACACCCAGTATGAAATGACGGATTGCAGGAGCGAGGTAGAGGATTCGAGGGTGCGAGCTAGGGGAAGATAGAGCGAATGGCAACACCGTATGGTCATGAACATGTTTTAGGCACATTTGACAGGGTGTGTGCATGTGTGTGCATGCGTGGCATGTGTGTGCATGCGTGGCATGTGTGTGCATGCGTGGCATGTGTGTGCATGCATGAGCATGCGTGTGCATGTTAGCTGACTCTGTCTTCCCTTGCTCAATCTGCCGTTGCAGGGATTTTTTAGAATTCTAAAAAAATCCCTGCAAGGGTTGCATGGAGAGAGATAGAGATGCAGGTCATGGGGGAGGTCAGAAGTGCAAGTTAGCTGACTCTTTCTTCCCTTGCTCAATCTGCCTGTTCCAATATCCTCACTAAAACAAAGGACCGTTTGAGATTGTAACACCTTATGAGCATGAAAAAGGAAGGAGAGGGAAGTGATGGAGAGAGGTAGAGATGGTAACACATTATGGGCACGAAAATCGCAGGAGAGGGAAAGTGAGTGAGAGGCCTGAGGGGGGACGCGGCGAATGGAGAAAAGGACGCAATAGCAGCACCCATATGGGCATGAAATGACGATTGTAGGAAAGAGGTAGAGGATTCGAGGGTTCGAGCCTAGTAGGGAAGATAGAGCGAATGGCAATACCCTATGTTGATGAGGTGTGTACATGTGTGTGCATGCGTGTGTATGCGTGTGTATGCGTGTGCATGCGTGTGCATGTGTGTGCATATGTCTGCATGTGTGTACGCGTGTGCATGCGTGTGCATGCGTGTGCATGTGTGTGCATGTGTATGCATGTGTGTGCGAGCACGCTAGTGCTCTGCTCATACACATATGAGGGTTGAGTGTACACATGTGTGTGTATGTGTGAGTGCGAATGTGTGTGTGCGGGTGTGCGCAAATGCTAGCATGTGTAGTCAGTCCATGCACGACTGTGTGCATGAATGATTGTGCACATGCACGAGTGCGTGCATGCATGAACGAATCTGTGCATAGATGAATGTGTGCATGAATGGACGTGTGCTTGTAGACTGCATGCATGTAGGAAGCTTCTGCGTGCGAGCATGCACCCCCATGCGAGCATGCGCCCCCATGCGAGCATGCGCCCCCACGTGAGGGTAGCAGGATACACTGAACCGCAGAAAACAAATCACCAGTTTCTGATCATCCCGTCCCGTTGCAAAGCAGGCATCAGCCATGTGATTAGGCAAGCAGGCACTAGCAAGAAACTTTTAGAAAAGGGATGACATTAGGATCCGTTGTTGTATAGAAAATCAAGAATTCCAACCCAAATAATTCCACCAGTAGCAAACAACTCACCACTTTCTGATCGTCCCCTCCAGTTGCAATGCAGGCATCATCAGGTGCCACCGCCACCTGTGCATGGGGGGAGAAAGAGGAGCAAAAGGAGAGGGAGGAGAGAAAGGAGAGCGAGGAGTAAAGGGAGTGAGAGGAGCCGTGCAATATTCATTTTCAGGCGTCTCAAAATGCAATGCAGGCATCATCAGGTGCCACCGCCACCTGTGCATGGGGGGAGAAAGAGGAGCAAAAGGAGAGGGAGGAGAAAAAGGTGCGAGGAGCAAAGGGAGTGAGAGGAGCCGTGCAATATTCATTTTCAGGCGTCTCAAAATGCAATGCAGGCATCATCAGGTGCCACCGCCACCTGTGCATGGGGGGAGAAAGAGGAGCAAAAGGAGAGGGAGGAGAGAAAGGAGAGCGAGGAGCAAAGGGAGTGAGAGGAGTCGAGCAAAAGCCCTTTTAGGTGCCTCAAAAGGCAATGCAGGTGCCATTCAGTGCTACTGCCACCTACCCATGGCAGGGAGAGAGAGGAGCAACTGGAGAGGGGGGAGCAAAGCCAAAGCCTTTTCAGAAGTCTCAAATGGTAATGCAATCGCCATCAGGTGCCACTGCCATTTGCTCATGGGGGGAAAAGAGTATTTATGAATACGTTTCAAGCTGAACCATTGTGGGAAAAACGGAAAAGAAAAGACAAGGATGGGAAGGCCAACCTGTGCAAAATTGAAAAGAACAAGATAAGAAGCTGCAATCGTAAGGAAACGAATGCAACCATCCGTATCCAGTAAAGGGTATTTATATGAAGAGTGTCTCAGTGCAGTCATACTGTGTGTGGTCATATAAAGAGTCTCTCAGTGCGGTCATACTGTGAGTGGATTGACTTATCCAGTGTTGATGGAGTGATGGAAAAGGGATTTTTTTAGTCGACTCAAACAATGGCTTACC